TTATTTAACTTTATTTTAAAAAGTACTTTATTTAACTTTATTAAAAAGTTCTTTATTTAACTTGATTAAAAAAATAATTTATTTTACTTTACTAAAAAAATAATTAATTTAACTTTATTTTAAAAAGTACTTTATTTAACTTTATTAAAAAATAATTAATTTAACTTTATTTTAAAAAGTACTTTATTTAACTTTATTAAAAAAATAATTCATTTAACTTTATTTTAAAAAGTACTTTATTTAACTGTGTTATAACAGCAGCTACTTTATGCAGTTTTATTGTAACAATAGTTTATTCAGCAGTTTGGTATTTTTGTAGTCTTTAGAGGAGATTTCCAAATAATGAGATATAATAATAAGTTGCAATATAGCCTGAAAATATCATCATAATATTTGTGGGCGGCTTCATCCAGCCTGAGGTGAGGACTGTAAAACAACATGTCAGACTGCATGGAGGAGGACCCGCTCTGTGTGACATAAGCAGCTCAATCTAAGGTGAGGAAATCACAACTCTTCTCAGTTTCAGGTGATTTTAAACAAGTAAAATCCATCTTAATCACATACAGCCCGTTAAACCTGCACACTGTGTAACATCTACTGAACACTGAGGCCACAGCTGACCATCACAGCAGCACAGAACACACTGAGCAGGTGTTATCTCACTGACATGACCTGGAGTTTGGTACAAGTGGCAGCTGGACACACAGCATGTTGCCATGGTGACACAGAGGAGCAGAGATCATGAAAACACACTCAGGAGCGTGTTAATGGACTTAATGAAGCTGATCCGGTCCGTTGGCAGATTTGAAGGTTTGAGAACAATAACGGAGGAAGAGAAAGTTTACTCTGCTGCTGAGGTCATCCAAGTTCACACACACACACACACACACACACACACACACTCAGCTCTCACCTTTCCCGCAGGCTCCTCTCTGGATGAAAATCACCGGCGGCTGCTGCAGCTTCGTCGCCCGGTTGCTGACGCGCTTCAGCTCGCAGATGTTCCGGTACGACACACCGTCACTGCCGCACACCGGGTCGGAGCTGGTGCACACGCACATCCCGGCCTTGCCCCTCCGCCTCACGGTGGCGGACACCTCCACGCCGTCGGTCACCACGCACTCCATCCCCTCTGCGCACTCCTGGTCCCCGGTGCCGCCGCACTGCTCGCCCTCGCCGGACGCGCACACCGGACAGCAGTCGCAGCGGTCCAGCACGTCACCGGCCAGACAGTCAGCGGGGATCGGGGCGCACTGCGACTTGTCGCACTTTTCCGGGCAGCCGATGGCGAAGCGTTTGGCTATCCGCGACCCGGTGATGAGGTACGGGCACACGAGCAGGGCCGTTACGCAGAGGATGAACCGGAGATGCATGATGGGACAATCCCGAGGAAACTCAGAGAGACACAGGAAGCTGGAGTTCAGATTGACTCTGGGGCAGAGCGGAGACCAACAGACTGATGCAGTGTGGAAGTTCAGTCTCCGGTTGTCCCGGTTTATAAAAGCTGCAGGATAAACACAGGAGGCGATTGGTGGGCATGTGTGACGTCTGTCAGAGGGAGGGATGATGGAGGTGTGTGTGTGTGTGTGTGTGTGTGTTATTAAAGTTGTGCATGGTGGAAAGTAACTGGAGGTATTCAAACAGCCTGCCTGCATGTCATTTTGAGGTACCTCAACTATATGTCCGGTGTCAGAGGCAAGAGAACATCCACTCCACACAGACAGGTGTAGAATACAAATATGGCCTTTACTGAAAGTATGAATTCCTAAAAACTAAAGGACACGTTCATACAAGAAGCCCCATGAAGCCATGTCCCTAAAACACACAGCACTGCAAGTGAGTAGTAAACTATAACTATAAAATAACTTCATTCACTGGGCCGACTGCCGGCAACTTTTAAGGTGGAACGTTAACTTGTAATGTTACTCAATGCATGAGTTGATGACGTGAATCTATCAGCACACCTTAAATTTCACTGTGACAACTTTGACCATCACTTTAGTTTTTATATGACACACACTTTTAGTAATGACTTTAAAAATATAGATTAATTTGGAGCGGATTATGTGAAGGTCATATATTCTAATCCTCACTTCCTGTGGGCTACAGCAACACTAAACCCCTGAGCTTGCCTGAGAAGGACTAAATGCACAAAGCTGCTATTTTTAAATATCCCATGGAGAGAGACTCTCACTTCAGCCTGTTCTATTTTGTTGTGAAAATGTGGGCGTGCAGCCTCGTTCTGTGGACGATAAACCAGGTGCAGACTTCCATCTGTGTCACCGCTGATGAGGAAATACAGCGAGTGCTGGACGGAGCAGTGAGTGACAACAACTCCGTCCACATTTAAGAGGACTGTCTGAACACACCGAGGGTCTAGGTACCATGTCTGAAGGGTCACTGCTGGTTCCAAAGGTACTGGACTGAAGGGTTTGGTGGAGACAGGTCTAAAATGCACAGCAATGGCAGGTCAAAACCATTCCAACCACTAGGGGGAGGCAGAGGGCTAACCGAGTCAGCAGTATTGCCTCTTAATGGGCCCCTGGCAGGGTGTCAAATCATTAAAAGCTACCTTAAACAAGTGACAGAGGAACCAAGACGACATATAAAATTCAGAATGAAAGTTTTTTAACTTATCTTGACAAGCCTGGCGACGACACAAACATGGAGCCTCCCATGGAGGGGCGTAATGTCATGCAGCCAGGACATCGAGGCAGTGGCGGCAGGCGTGGCGGCATGACACAATGTTTTGGAACAGGATAGTTGAAGTTCCAGAAAACACTAGCAAAGGGCACTGTCTACACTCCGGTCCCTCGCTACCTAAAGGAGGTATCCAGCCTCCCCTCCGAGCACAGGAACAGCTCCCCTACTCAGCTGTCTTCGCTGCCGGCAACACTAGAAATTGCGAACAGCACCCTCCCGCCCTGGTGCCACAGCTACAAGCAAAACTGTTCAGTCTCACACCCGACACAGGTGAGAGTCACCAGTAATCAGTTACCTGGGAAGCCCTCCCCACAAGCATCCACAGGGAGGCAGAGACCCTCCTCGTCATTTCCTCTCTACAAGATGTATTTCAATTCTGTACTTTCTTCTACTTCACCACATGTCAGAGGAAATGTTTTACATTTTTCTCCACCACATTTATCTGGCAGCTGTGTACAAATCAAATCATCAACTTTACATCTTTGAATTAAACTATCCATCTGGCCGATGTGGGATTTACAGTTTGTTCATGATAGACTTCTCATGCTGTCAGTCTGCTCCCTTTCTCTTAGTTGAATTTCTCTTTTTAAGATATTTTCACCCACACTGACAGGACAGTTCAGAAGGACAGGAAAGGTGAGGTGACACGCAGCAAAGGGCCGCAGGTTGGAATCAATTTGCACCACTGCAGAGGACTCAGCCTCTATGGCCCTTCTCACGTCCCCCTGTACTCCCATTCTCCGTCCACCAGATGCCCTCAGACTCCCCCACCTGTCCCAGTCACCTGACTCTCACCTCCACCTGTTCATCTCATCAGCCCTGCAGGATATTAACCGGCCCGTTTCCACTTGTTCTCTGCCAGACTGTCACCAGCAGTTTGAATAAGGACAATTTCTGCTTTTCCTCAGAGTCCATTGATGAATTTTACTGCGTCTTCTGTCCAACATCTCCGTCCTCGTATTTATAGTCATCAGACACTCTGCACTGCTGCTGCTGCACATTCACTGACCTTCAGTTGGTGAGTGCTGCTGTGCAACAATTGATTTTTCCAGTAAGAGAAACAGTTCAATAAAGGGACTGAAGAGTTCAGCTAGTTTTTAGGACGTGTCCATTTGGAACATTTTCTTTCTAAGAATGACACTTTTTTAATGTTAGAAGGAAATGTTTTCAGAAAGAGATCCTGAAGAGACACTGTGTTGTCTTTTCCCTGACTGTGTTCTCTCACCACAAGAAAATGTTGGCATTGTACTTTTCTGCAAACCTTTTTAGGAGCCTTTGGTTTTGTTTTTTTTTTTCTAGTGGATTTTTTTTGCCCCCAAGTGTGAGTTATTTTTCAGCAACCTGTGGGTGTTTTTCCAGCAGCTTTTCAGCCCCACAACATGGGTGTTTTTTTATTGACCCGTTGCTATTTTTCCTGCAGCAACAGTGCCATGAAAAGCAGTTGTTTTTCACCGAGACATCGTTGTTCTTCCTTCCAGCAGCCTTTCAACACCCAAAATGAGGGTGTTTTTTAGCGATCCTTGACTGTTTTTCCAGCAGCTTTTTAGCCTCCAAACATGGTTGTTTTTCTGAGACATTGCTGCTTTTCCAGCAGCTTTTCAGCCCCTAAACATGGGTGTTTTTGAAGGATTTGTTGCTGTTTTTCCAGCGTCTTTGTTGCCCCCAAATATGGGCTCTTTGTGTGTGAATCTCACACTCTGGCCTTGTGTTATTTACTTCCTTCACATATTAAAGCTGATGGTGCTGACTGCAGACTTTTAACCCCCTCTAACTGTTTCATTACAATACTAGACGTGCCATTTCTAAATCACCACTGTGCCATGATGTGATGATGATGACATTATGAAATCATCTTGTTTCCCCTCAGCTTGCCCTCTAACACCTGATCAAGATCATTAAAAACAAAAGTTGGTTCAATGTCCACTCACTTTTCATCTGTGGTGATGCTGAGCTGTGTTTACGAGTATTCACGTCACGTAATCGACTGGTTGAAAATGACAGGTTCGTCCATGAGTCTCAGTCATCTCTATTTAGAGGAGAGCCGTCCTGTCATTAGCAGCATGATGCAACAGCTCTGTTCTGGAAACTATCAATCGTTAACACCCAATGACAACGGTCTCTATGACATCAAATGTAACATCATGTGGTCATTATGTCATCATTCAGGGAAACAATCTTATGGATCCTTACAGCTGTGTAGGCATCTAACTAACTGATTGAAATGGAAGCAAAGCAACAATTTTACAGTCTCACTGTGAAACAAAATTTTCAGGTTCACAACACTCAAACTGTTCTGTTTAATACATTCAGAGGTGCTCACTGGATACATGTAGAGCCAAGATCATATTTCAAAAGTGCCACCTTATTTATTTCAGTGAAAGTTGATTACCGGCACCAGAAACTTCCATTTTTGGACCCAAAGAGTGACAACGACTTTTTAATTGTTTTAATTGTTTAATAAACAGCTTGTGAATGCAAGTGGGAACCATCAGCCCAGTCACCAGAGGAAAATGTTGGCCATGTATGTTTTGCAAACCATGTTACATTTGTACATTTCACATGCATCATATCAGTGTTTCAAAAGTGATGTCATATCTAAGCTGACCTTGTCATCAGGAGGTGGAGGGGATGGTGGATGGTGTGACACCTCAGGGAGATGTCTGCTGAGCTGCAGACCACTGTTCAACACCGACAAACAACAAAACTGGTTGTTTTTTAGCGAGTCGTTGCATTTCCAGCAGATTTTTAGCTACCAAATGTGGGTTTTCTTTTTAGCAACCTGTTTCTGTTTTTCAATAGAACCTGTAGAAAAATGCCAGAAAATACATGAGCTGGCACATATAGCTGAGAGTGTGTATGTACTGTAGCATGATGTGATTTTGCCAAGTAGGACATGTTCCTAGATCAACATCCCACACTGCGTCCCTGGAAAAAAATTGCAATCAGCTAATGACAGCCCTCTGACATCATCAGTGTGCTGCTCCTGTGCTTCTTTCAACACTCCTGTCTGCTTCTTCAGAGCTAAGTTTCCCAAATTGAAGTTGGTTAAATTGAACAAAATCCTCATGAGCAGACAGTCAGAGATCTCCGCCTTCTGATAGTCTGGGGACACTCCTTTCTAAAGTGTGTTTAACACACCGGAGAAAACAGCTGGCAACAAAGCAACGCCTCTTGCATTTTTTAAAAGGACACGCCCTCCCGGAAATGTGCGCTCCCCCTTTTCTCATCCGCAAGGACACAAACACACAGAGAGCTTGAAAATGGATGCCGAGAGATTTAACTCCGTTTTATCAAACGTGTGCTCAGTCCACAAGATTGTGGAAATGAAGGACTTACAGCGACTTTGTTTAAAACTTTTAATGCAGTGGGACTATGTTTACAAGCACAAGAGTTCAGCGAGCCACCGAAGGACCGCCCTGCAGATTTACTATTGGTTCTGCAACGTAGGGAGTTTTTTTAAACTCTGAAATTGTATCCGCCCATCTAAACACAAAATCAGGGAGATCAGTCTTTAGTTAAGCAAAGCGTCTAAAGACTGACTTGTGAGTCTACTGCAGGGTTAGTCAGTTAGCTTGCTAAGTAGGTAGGCTATGCTAACAACTTAGCTTGCCAAGGGTTTAGATTATAAGTAAATTAACTTGATCTCTAAGTAGGCTATGACACTACGGCCCAATCCCAATTCCTATCTTAACCCTCAATCTTAACTTTCAAGCTCAACCCTCAATCTCACTAGACATAGAAATGGGACACCCCTTAAAGGCAGATACGTCTTCA